ACTGCTAGTTCTTCCTTTCTTAATCAAGGAGAGAGACTACAATTCCTCAACTCTGCTCTATCCTCAATGCCCATCTTCTTCATGGGAAGCTTGGTTGTTCCAGCTGGCATTCTCAAGCAGTTGGAGAGAATTCAAAGGCAGTGTTTGTGGAGAAAGAATAGAGATGAACCTGCCCCCTCACTTGCAGCTTGGGAGCTCATTTGTAGGCCAAAAAACAAGGGTGGTCTTGGCATCCTCAATCTAGGGGTACAAAATGTTGCTTTTCTTCTGAAACATGGTAGTAACTTCCTAAATAAAAAAGACATTCCCTGGGTTTCACTCATTTGGAATTCTTACTATCATGAAAGAGTTCCTCGAGGAACATCTGCATGTGGTTTCTTCTGGTGGAAGGATGTCTGCAAGGTTATGGTCAGTTTCAGAGATCTATCTTGGGTTGAGATCAATGATGGTGATATTGCTCTGTTCTGGTCTGATAGCTGGAATCTTGGTGATGAGGTCTCTCCTCTCCAATCAAGATTTCCTATGCTATTTTCCTATGTTAAGGACCCATGGATTACAGTCAAGGAATTTTTCAGTTCTCAAGATATTGTCCAGCACTTTCACCTACCCCTGTCTGCTCAGGCTTTTGGAGAGTTGGGTCTGATTCAATCCATGATGGACTCTCATAGTAGAGTATCTGGCTCTAAGGATGTGTGGTTTTGGCAGAACTCCTCCAAGCAGTTTAAACCCAAGATGTTTTATTCCCACACATTCCAATATGAAGCTTTCAACCCTCTACTGTCTTGGATATGGAAATCTTCCTGTACTCTCAAGATAAAAGTCTTTTCTTGGATGCTCATCATGGACAGACTGAATACTAAAGATATGGTAGAACGAAGACATTGGCACATGGAGGATGGAGTGCAATGCAAGCTATGCCTACTGCAGGTTAGAGAAACCAGGGATCATCTTTTTTTCAACTGTAATTTTAGTGTGAGAGTTTGGAATTACCTCGCCGACTGGGAACTCTATGTCTCGTGTGGTTATCTAGGCCAGGAGTGATTTTCACAAGCCTTTTTTCTCTGAAGTTGTGTTCACTGCATGTTGGAACATATGGATCATTCAAAATGCCAAGGTTTTCAAAAATGAGAGGGCTAGTTTTTATAAATGGTGTGCTGCCTTTCGACATGATATCTCCTTGTTGCAATACAGGATTAAATATGCCTACAAGGATGACCTTCTGAAGTGGATCTCCTTCCTTCCCCCTTAAGGCTTAGTGTAGTAAGGCATCTCTGCCTCCCTCCACCTCCTTTTAGTTTAGTCTATTTATGTTAGATTACCCCTTGTAATCACTTTGTATCTTGTTACTTTTTGATGAATAAAGGTTTTGATCTGCTGTGGGGGTTTTGCCCCACAGTTCCCAGTCAAAAAAAACATGTATAAAAATGATGAATGATGGCTGAGCCACAAATACTATATCGGCTATGTGATCATGCAAATCAATATGACAACAATGATATGTGTCATAATAACGGAACAGTGGAAGTTGCATGGCAATATATCTCGGCATGGCTATGGAAATACAATAATAAATAGGTATGGTGGTTGTTTTGAGGAAGATATAAGGAGGCTTATGTGTGATAGAGTGTATCATATCACGGGGTTTGGATGCATCGTCGAGGTTTGCACCACATCTCGAGGTGAGAAAGGGCAATGCACGGTACCGAAGAAGCTAACAACTTGCAGAAAGGTGAGAGTGCGTATAATCCATGGACTCACATTAGTCATAAAGAACTCACATACTTATTGCGAAAGTCTATTAGCCCTCGAAGCAAAGTACTACTAAGCATGCCCCTAGGGGGAAGGTTGGTAGGAATTAACCATCATGTGCCCCCTGACCTTCACGCAAAGGAAGACACTCAATAATAAACAGTGCTCCAACTTCTTAGTATAATGAGAGGGTATACGTGCATGCTTCGGGAATCACATTAACACAAATATTCTTACTAAACCACAATCATTCACTAGTACCTTCCATATATTACCATCTTTATATCGCAAAACTATTGCAAGAAATCAAACTTATCATATTCAGTGATCTACATGAAAGTTATTATTATATCCCTCTTGAATACCTATCATATTAGGACCAATTTCATAACCCGTGCACATTGCCATTCCTATTATCTTAAAATGATATAATTGAAACATGAGAATACAACTATTTCTTTAAAATATAACAACCGTCGTGTTCTAAAGATATAAGTGAAGGACTAGAGCAACTGCCTAGCTCAAAAGATATAAGTGAAGCACAAAAAGTATTTTAACAAATCAATGTTTGTTTACATTTTACATGAGTCAAGCCAAGATATGATCTGAGATCGTTATATTAGCAAGTCAAGTCGTGCTAGGTTGTCATTTAGACGAGCTCTAGCGAGTCGAGCTGAGTTGGCTCGACTCGGCTTGAATTCCGCCCCTACCCGCAGTGGCTGCCTGTCTCACAATGGAGGAAAATCAACGCCATTGACCTAGGCATTTTCTCTTTGGAAAGATTGACTGATGCTAAATTGAAAAAAACTAAGCAAGGGCGACATTATTGCTTATGATGGAAGTTCCTTTCTGAAATGAACTACCTAAAATCTACCTTCGCTCCTACATGAAGGCACCATGTGCATAGCAGTATGGTATGTTATTCCTTTCTTTCCACTCCGCATATGTGCCCAAAACCCATGATGGTTAATGCCCTAATTTTCCCTAGCAAGTGCCAACACCAACACTGATCAGGACATGGCTACCTTGGATACGACCAAAAATATTGCATACATGTATATTTGTGAGGTGATTTCTAATGCAAACTATGCAATAATTTATTTATGTTATCCAGGACAAAAATACTTCACAAACTTTTGTGCCATGTCTAATTGGAGGTGTATGGGACATTTGTACAATCCACATATGAAGATAAGGGGAAAAGAGATGTTTAGGTGTTGTTCAAAAAGTCCTCTCGGATCACTTTTGGGCCAAGAGAAGATAAAGTCCAAGTCTCTCATGTTCTGGATTCAGATTCAGACTACACAGACATACCTGACTCAAAACGCAAGAACTCTTTCATACAGACTCCGAACGGGTGATTCTTTTTTGTTGAAAAGTAGATTTTGTGCTCTTTCCAACCAAGTTGGATTCACCTTCAAATTCGTCCGGGGCGTTGAGTTATTGAAGAAACAATCTGACGCTGCAGCAGAATCCAAGTCAAACTACAAGTCCAAAGGTGTTGCATCACCTCCACTTGGGCCCATGAGCCTTGTACGACCTAGGGTTAGTTTTAGGCTACCTTGGGACGTCCTTCCACCTCCTTGGCCGCCACCCCTTGCTCCTATATAAGTAGATGCATCTAGTAGCTTTTTCCTTGGGGTTTTGTTTAGATTAAAAGTTCGCCATAGCTGCAACTTCGCGTACTTCGTTTGTGTTCAACGACTAGACCAAGACATCACAGAACCCCATCTTGATCAATAAAGCTTTCATCTTATATTCGTAATATCCAGATTGCAATCTCAGCTTCTTGCTTGTTCTTCGTTTGCTCGCAGAAAATAGTCCCTCGTGGTCAGGTTGATCGTGCTCTGGCGTGGTCAATAACCCTCGGAAGTTGGTTTAGCGATTGCTAAGGCGCGACGTCTTCGCACGTTCGTAGTCAGATCGTCAAAGTCGACTCCCATACAAAACGATATATCTATCTCATTGAAACACCGGGACACCTTCGCCCCTATGAGACACCCTACATTCCCCTTCTATCCTCCTCTATCCTGTGAGTTAATGACAATGAGAGGCGGCAAGCTTTTTCTATGTGGAAACTACAACTATTTGTTTACATTTTACATGAGTCAAGTCAAGCTTTGATCCAAAGTTGTTGGATTACCAAGTCGAGCCGAGGTAGCCTCTTATTTAAAGGAGCTCTAGCAAGTTGAGATGAGTTGGCTCGACTCGGCTTGAGTTCCATCCATAGCCACAGTGATTGTCAGCCTCGTAACAAATTGGATCTTTATCCGAATCTAGACCTTTTCCTTACGGAAAGATCGACTGATACTAAACTGGAAAACAGCTGAGCGGTGGCGACCTTATAGCTTCTGACAGAAGTTCCTTTCTCAAATGAACTACCTGAAATCTACCTTCGCCCCTAAGATTAATACATGGAGGTACCATGTACGTAACAATTTGGTATGCTATCTTTCCAGCCGCATATGTACCCAAAACCCTCCGCCACACCACGCTATAAGTTACTCCCTCTGTTCCAAGTTGGGTCATCTATTTTGGAACGGAGGGAGTAAAACGCTTTCGCGTTTTCTTCACTGTCAAGTTCAAGAAAAGTTGACAGATATTTTCTTCTTCTCAGCTGCTGCACATGTGATAAGTAGCTTTTTTTTAGAAGAATGTGACAAGTAGCTAGCACCCAAGATACGGCAGCCACGCAAAGCCGCACATGCGCAACAGAACAACAAACGCTCCCTCGGCCCTTGTCACCTTCCAAAATGGTGTGCGGACGTGCGGTCTCCTGCCACTGCGGCAGCTAGCTCACTCCACTCGCACCGCACGCATCGGCAAAGCGAGCCTCCCAGGTTGGACGCCAGCGCGCGCGCCCGTGGCGCGTAGCTGGTGATCGATCACGCCGGCCGCGGGCGCGGGCAAAGCGCCGAGAGCGCCGCGCGGCCGATGGAGCCCTTTCCTCTCCCCGGACGAAATTAACCAGAGCTGAACTGGCGCAAGGCACGCATGGAGAACCGGACACCTCCCCCCAGCAGGCCGAGGCGTGCGGGCCACGCGGGGGCACCGGCTTTGGGTTTCCCAGCGTGGCACACGGGGCCAACGGCCAGGGAGGGGCCTTTATATGCCCCGCCATTGCCGCGCTCCCCAACCTCGCAGATCGATCTCCATTCCGCACCGCCTTGGGTGGGAGGTTCTTGGATCCGGACTAACAAACGCCGGCCGTGTTTGGGAGGGCCTCGTTCCTAGCCTATCTCGTCGAGAGGATGGCGGCGGCGAGCATGGTTGGCATGCCCAAGAGCCCCCGCTCGGTGGCCTTCGGGACGGCTGCCTCGCCCTTCGGGGACAGGAGGAAGGCCCGGTTCTGCGTCGCGGCGTGCGGCAGGGACGACCAGCAGCCGCCCCCGTCGATGGCCGCGGTGCCAGCGTCGCTGCGGGCGATCCAGGCCAAGAGGAAGATGGCGGCGCAGGCGCGCGGGGTTCCGCGGGCGACGAGCGCGGCAGGGTGCGCGGTGGCCGCGCTCGCCGCCGCGGTGGAAGCCGTGCAGGGCGCGGCGGTCGGGGGAGCCTCCGGCGCCGCGCGCGGCGCCGGGGATGCCGTGGCGTGGGTCTTCCAGAAGGTGCACTTCGAGTCGCCCGACCTCGCCGTGGGACTGCTCGGTATCGTCGCGTCCTGCCTCGGCACGGCCGTGGAGATGGAGATGGAGCGGATTAGGGCCAAGGAGATCGAGGAGTCGGCCATCAAGGCCAACCCCGCCGCCGCCGTCGATGACGACGATGACAACGGCGAAGATGCGGAAGAGGCAGACGATCTGACGATGCTGGTGGGGATGGAAATGGAGAAGGAGCTCTGGGCCAGGATCGGCATCCATCATGACGACGACGACGACGACATGCCGCTGGGCGACAACGACGACGAGCAGGAGGCCATTGAGGCCGCCCGCGCCGGCATACGGAAGGCCGCGTACGAGCGGATCATTGCCACCTCCGAGGCCAACTCGCTCATCCTCTCCAACTACGCGCAGCTCCTCTACGAGTTCGACAAGGATCTCGACAGGTAAAAATACGCCGCCATAGTCTTGAACATCGATTCCCATGCATGCCAAGATGCACCTGTTACGTGTCATGGTCCTTACCCGCCGTCTCGATCGACCTCGGCAGGGCGGAGGATTATTTCAAGCGTGCGGTCGCCATCGAGCCGCCTGACGGCGAGGCGATGCGGAGGTACGCGGTCTTCCTCTGGCAAGCCCGCGGTGACCTGGCCGGCGCGGAGGACATGTTCACCAGCGCCATCGACGAGGAGCCGGACAGCAGCCACCACCGGAGCAGCTATGCGTGGTTCCTCTGGATGACTGGCGGTGTGGAGACCTGCGTCATCGACTCCGGCAACAACGACGACACCGAATGAAGCCGATCGCCGGAGCAAGGGCCACCTCGAGTTAAAGACAATTAAAGACCGACCTCGCCGGCAGGTGCCTGGGCGGCGAGGCTGCCGGCCATTTTAGATGGTGCATCTAGGTATATATTGCGCACTGTCGGTGAGTAGCATCGGCCCTTGTAGGGGCCATGTTATACTAGGGTGCGCGTGCGAGCATGGCATGCAGGAGCCAAACCCAAGGGCAGGCGAATAATGTTGATGTTGTCAAGCAAGCGCACATATAAAGTACAGTAGGGCCTCATCAATACATGTGTGGATTTGGAATAAAGCATGCATGCATCATCAGTGATGGCATGCTGTTGCTGAATTGTGAACAATATCTATATGTAAACAAAAATATGAAATGCATAAGGTTCTTCCTTTGCTGTAACTTGTGTTTGCACAGATCAAGTGCAGCTGTGGTATGATATTTACGGTATACATATTTTCATCCTGCTGGTGCTCTATAACAGACCTGACTTACTAATCTTTACCGGACAATGTACGTCGATGCTGCCATAAGTGCAGCTGTGATTGAATCACCTGCATCCCAGCTCCAATCTTGTATCTTCGTTGATGCTGGTGTTTCTGCAAAGCTTCTGAAGGTCAATGTAGCCTATGAGTGTGTCCTCGAAATCGACGTCCTTCATATTAGCCTCGTCGAAGGTTGATCCCGACAGGACGGTGTTCTTGAAGACTGCACCTTCGAGGTCGGCTTTTCCAAAATTGGCACGGTCTATCACTGCGTTCGTGAAGTTCGTGCCTGAAAGCATTTCATAGACAAGTATTTATCTTTATGTTCATATTGTAGCATGATAACACAAAGGTAGATCTGAAAATTGACAGTATTTGGGAGCAACTGCAACAACTCGGTGTGGTGAATAACACAAGTATTTTACACCCTGCCTATAATACGCAATGTAGCCATGATCAATGCAAAGGTACATCTGAAAGGGTCAAGTATTTGGAAGCCATGCAACAATGAATAATGCAGTGTGGTAAAAAACGATTAAGGTGTGTACTTCTGTTTCTGTTACCTTTGAAACTTGCACCAACAGCATAGGCCTTGGACATGACAACTTCTGTCAAGTCAGCACCATCAAACTTTGCGCCTGACATCAATGCCGCCGACAGAGTCTTGCCTTTAAGATTACTTTTATCATTTGTGAAATCACAGAACCGGAGATCAAGCACCTTGTCATACACCCCATTTGCCTGACCAATTGTGTTCCCAACAAATGCAGCCTCGCATCTCTTTGGGTCTGTTGATAGTGGAGGCAACCTCTAACAACCAAAGCAAACAGGGAACAATGTTAGCTCAGAGAACTTTTCCTACTCGACAAACTATCTCAGAATATATATATATATATATATATATATATATATATATATATATATATATATATATAAAGGGAAAACGTAGGATTGCAGTGGCATGTCCACCCGGATCCTACAGGCTGTTGTCCGCACCAAAGTGTCTTTGATTGTACCATAGGGAAAACAAAAGATTATGTACATGAGTTTGGAGTGGATGTAAAATTTTCCTTTGAAATGTACTGTAGTGGGTTCCTTAGGAAAATTTCCTATGGGATTCAGTCCTACGAAATAAAAAACCAACATAGAAATAATTCTTAAGGATTTAATCCTCCACTATCCCTATGAATATCCTTTGAATCAAAGAGGCCCTAAAACCATGGAGAAAGGAAGTTAAGCTCTAATGCTAGAAGGCAATTTTCAAGAACAGCACTATAGTGCCAAACTGACGACTACATATTCAGGTTAAACTTGTAGGATTGCAAAATGAAGGTGCACTTCTCTAACAGACATGACAGTGATTTTTAGATGAAATGTGGCTTCACAATACAAAAGACATCAGTACATATAACGTATTCCTACGGTGAAAATTGCCATGCCATAATCAGTTAATCTGATTAAAGTGTGCAACAAGACGATGATTTGTAAAACTGATGGTATTTCCCGCTTCTCTAGAGTTGTATCAGTAACTGAGTCTAGATGCAAATGCAACCCCAAATTAACATATAATCCCTCTGTCCCGAAAGATAAGACATAAGGTTTGCCCTAAGCCAAAGTTTTATAAGTTTGACCAACTTTCTTACAATATTATCGATACCTACAATAGCAAATCAACATCAATAGTTTCGCCTCAAATATATTTTCATAACAAATTTATTCGGTATTGTAGATATTGACATTATTATCTATAAACCTGATCAAACTCAGAAAACCTTTACTTATGACAACTTATACACCTTATATTTTGGTCTGCAAGATAGTAACAAATACAACAGAGCTCTTGGTAAGTACTTCCTCCGATCAAAATTAATTGACGCAGCTTTAGTAAAAAAATTGCAGTAGTGCACATTACATTCTGTGGTAAGTGTAGTACTCTGTTGTGACCTCCTGGACGCTTGAGGTGCCCTCGTGTCGTCCTCTCCAGGGTTACTCAGAGGCGATTAGGGTTTCTCGCTCCACCCTCTCCCTCCCTTGCCACCACCCGAGGTGGTCGCCGGGCAAGCCGGTGTGTACGCCGATGAAGGTCGCGGTGAGGTGCTCGTTACTTCATTCCTTCGCAAAGGACTCTGGTTGCCGAGGAGGCAGCCTTAGATGGCGAGGCGGCATTGCCTCCGTGCAGGCGGCGCCGAGGTGCGAGCCAACTTCCTTGTGCATGGGCAGCAAGGAGTCGACAGATAGTGGTCGCGGCACGGATTTTCTCTCTATCTCTCCAGACCCGAATGTCAAGGTCCTCTCCCCCTTAGCTCACTCCCTTCGCCGGCTTTGCCTGTTAGCGGCCATCGGTCGCCGGATACGGAGAAGCCTGGGTGGTGGTTGTGTAGGCTTGAGACTAGGGGGAAACCCTTGGTCCGTTACTCCGGCCATGGCGGCAGCGATGCACAAATGAGCCGCTGGAGGAACCGCCGAGGTCTCTTTTCTCCACCCCCATCCCAGTTCCCGGGGAAAAGCCCAAAAACCCGCCTTGGGTTGGGCAGCGGCGGCGCCTTGTGCATCGTGACCTCCATGGAGGCACCGTCCAAGGAAGTTTTGGTTCTTTGGGTGAGTGGTGATGCGGTTGGTTGGTGTTCCGTGGTTGTCGAGTCCAAGCGGCTGCAAATCAATGGAGGTTCATAGGTCCAGCAAGTCACCCACTTATCTTTAGGGTGGTGTTCTTCGGTGGCTAGGAGTGTGGCTGTGTCCCGGCAGTGCAGCGCCTTCGAGCCTGGGCAGAAGGGAATAGGGTTCCCCTTCCCGGTGGCAGCAATGTGGCTAGCGCTGCGGATGCCTGAGCTTTGTTCTGCAGTCGTGGGTCTGTGCTCAATAATCAGATATTCCTAGCTGCGCCTATGTGATTCTGCAGCTTCCTTCTTCAGTGATTATTCCCAGTGGTTTTCCCAATGTTTTTGGTCGTCCAAGGGCAGCAGTGATGCGGCTGGTGTGTGTGTTTGTGCACACACGCTTGCCGTGTGAAGATGGCCATGCACAATGGCTGCTCTAGGTTCGAGGCCGGCATCTGTTCCAGCTCTCGGTTGAGCGCCTCTACGGTTGCGGTGCCTTTGATCCTAGGCGAGGGGATGGGGTTCCTCTTCGTCGGTAGATAAGCCAGGTGATGGGTTCGGTGTCTCCAGTCCCATGGATCAGGCTTTTTGACGATTCTTTCAGACCGTAAGCTGATCCTTGGAAGCTTCTTCTGCTTTTGTCTGTTCTTTGGTGCCAGAGTGCAGCTGGCTTCGACATTACTAGCAGTGCTCTCTCTGTTTTTTCTTTGTTTGTGTGTAGTGTGTGTTGTGTTCTAAGCTGATCAGTCAGCCCCCTTGTATCTTTCAGCCGATGTTGCTTGGTGCCATGTAATCCCAGGTTGCTTGATGGCTTCGTTAATTTAAAGTTGGGCTCGTCTTAAGCCGTCCTTCTAAAAAGTACTCCTACGTTGATTTATTTATTTACTTATTTTGAGAAAGCTGAAAATTTATTTTAAGCCTTCACCTTCAGGTTAATTAAACCACTATTATTTCTCCAACACCAATACCAATATTTCTTCAGAATATCACTATTCTTTAGCTAATCTCCAACAGTTGTTGAAGAGTACCATTTCTATGGAGATTTAAACCCAGTATTTAGAAAGCAATTTTCCTACTGGCTAAGTATATTTGATCGAATCAAAGTGAAACCTAATAAATTTCCTACAGTCGAATCTGAGCATAAGCTAAGGTCACAAGAGACATCATTTTATAGAGACCAAAATTCCATCTGAATGGCGACTTCCCCTAATCTGCCACCAAACCCTAGGAAAACGCGACGTGAGTCTATTTGCGCTAGCGACCAGCGGTCGTCGGGTTCTACAAATTTCCTTTCAATAAATAAGAAGGTGACTGGAATCGCACAATGCCCGTGGTGGAGCCGGAGGAAACCACCAACCTGGCCGGCGGCGATGACCGGGCTGGGGGCTGACGCGACGGCCCAGGCTGCGAGCAAGCCGCACGCGAACCCTCCCACGGCCTTGGCGCGGCCGCCGCTCCCGGCTCCCCCAGCGTCGGCCAAGCACGTCACGCGGCACCCTCTCGGCTGAAACTGCAGACGTAGAGCAGAGCCACCGCGCGCGGTGGCCGGCGAGGCGAGGCAAGACGAGACCATGTCAATGCAATGCGGGGAGAGCGGCTGCGTGGCTGAGCGGAGAAGAGAGGGGGTGGTGGGTCTGTACGTACGTGTGCGGCGCGCGCGGCGTGGTGACGAGGAAGGGGGGGAGATAGAAGGGATCATAGTCTTATCCTCCCAAGGCTTATCCCGGTTTCGTCTCTCGTCCGCTTGACGACCACGGGCCCACGTGACCGGCGAGACTGGTAAAAATGGCCAACAGTAGTTTAAGAAACTGATCGAACAGGCGGCTGCCACAAATCTACCGACTGATTTTGACCGGCCGACCCAAACGGACGACGCTTTTGTCTGTTTTTTGTTCGTTTGGGTCGGCTGTCCGCCGGACG